TTTAATAGTTACATTAATAGTTACTTTATATATTTTTTCAACCTCCACAGATCGCATTAGGCCTTGCATTTGCGCATAAACGCCTTTATTGCCGCTTTACAATTCAGATGCAGATTCGATATTTTTATTTCTATTGCAAGGGAGTAACTGCAAAGTAACGATTCGTTACTTTTCGAGTAACTGTAACTGTAACGCGTTACTTTTCAGAATTGGTAACTTGTAACTGTAACTAGTTACATTGTTAGCGAAGAAACTGTAACTGTAACTAGTTACTTTTATAAAGTAACTTTCCCAACCCTAATGGTTACTCGGTAGTATACCTATGCAATTATGTATGGTATTATCATAAATGAATAATGCCCCTAGTAAAATCGACAGAAGTCACAGATGCAGATGCACATATTCCGATTCGGTGATTTTCATGGAGTGAACTCGATTATATTTTTGGTACATTCACACGACCCTCGAACAAAGATACGAACGATGCTTTCTCGTTATGACGAATATAATAATAAAATGGCCGATTTACATCGAATTCTAATGGTTGCGTAATTGCCATGCTGGTAAGTTGAGATACCCCAGCTGTGAACAGAAGATTTAAAAAATTCTTTGTAGGCGAGAATATATTCACGGGCGTACATTCGGACGAGCGTACAGAGACGAGCGGCATAAGCGTTAGCCTGTATATGTTTTCGAGTAGGACGGCCGACGGTCGAGACGATAAATAGAGTATCGTCTCGGGCGTTGAAATAACGAATCTAGGCAGGTGGCCGATTGGTTGGCGTCGATATCTCCGACATAAATATAAGCACGGATTCGGAGAGCAAGCGAGGATTCTTCCTGGAGACCCGAGCTAAGAGAGATCTTCGCAGAACGAGTGAGAGAAGCGAGCCACCAGAGAGAGAACATAGAACCGGGCCAATTGAGGGGAGACACAACACCCGCCTGATTACTCTCTTTTGTATGAGATAGAGAATATATCGTATTTAAAAGAACCGAGTCTCCAATCTCCTATCTATCTCCAAATATCCGGGATCATACGGAAAGGAGGACTTTCGCCCTCCAAACATCATAGTCTTTCTACATCTTATAAATTTTCTTGATTCAAAACTTTTCACGCACGTCACGAACGTATGCTCTGCCGAAGTTAGCATTTCAACTTTTTATCCGAACGATTATACTACCGAATAATTTTCGTAACGGTATATGAATTCACATTTTAAAGAATTACAACAAGTATAAGCTATCTACATCTTGCCTAAGACTCGCATTGGCCATTCTTGTGTGTTGTCTCGTAACAATCTTTCTACATAAAAGATGGTTCAAAATATGCATGTGTTTAAATGAATAGTGGTAAAGTGGTAAAATAGACATAGAACTAGAAATTGAAACAGAAATATAAACAGGTATAAGTGTTCTAATTTGGCAATTATTTGTGGAATAAAATTGATCACATTTCTGGTACGTTTACACGACCGTCGAATAAAGATACGAACGACGTTTTCTCGTTATGGCGAATACAGTAATAAAACGGACGATTTATGTTGAACGAATCCTCAACTGCTGATAGCTTTGTGTATAACACTGCGAACAGAATATTGAAAAAATCTTTATAAATTCTCTTGTTCATTTGAAACATGTAATGCACGTTACAAATGTATGCTCTGCCAAAGTTAGTATTTCAACTTTTATTCAAATGGTTATACTGCCAAATGATTTTCGTAACCATATATTATATTACATAGAAAGTTACTCGGAACATATATACCTATGCCAATATGTATGGTATTGTTATAAATGAATAATGTCCCTAGTAAAATCGACAGAAGTCACAGAAGCAGATGCAGATATTCCGATTCGGTGATTTTCACGGAGTGATCTCGATTACATTTCTGGTACATTCACACGACCCTCGAACAAAGATACGAACGATGCTTTCTCGTTATGACGAATATAATAATAAAATGGCCGATTTACATCGAATTCTAATGGTTGCGTAATTGCTATGCTGGTGAGTTGAAATACCGCAGCTGTGAACAGAAGATAAAAAAAATTCTTATAAATTCTCTTGATTCGAAACTTCTCACGCACGCCACGAACGTATGCTCTGCCGAAGTTAGTATTTCAACTTTTTATTCGAACGATTATACTGCCGAATAATTTTCGTAACGGTATATGAATTCACATTTTAACGAATTACAAGTATAAGCTATCTATATCTTGCCTTAGACTTGCACTGGCCATTCTTGTGTGTTGTCTCGTAACCATCTTGCTACATAAAAGATGGTTCAAAATATGCATGTGTTTAAATGAATAGTGGTAAAGTGGCAAAATAGACATAGAACTAGAAATTGAAATATAAGCAGGTATAAGTGTTCTAATTTGGCAATTATTTGTGGAATAAAATTGATCACATTTCTGGTACGTTTACACAACCGTCGAATACAGATACGAACGGCGTTTCCTCGTTATGGCGAATACAGTAATAAAACGGACGATTTATGTTGAACGAATCCTGAATTGATAAGCGCTTTGTGGATAACGCTGCGAACAGAATATTGAAAAAATCTTTATAAATTCTCTTGTTCATTTAAAACATGTAATGCACGTTACAAATGTATGCTCTGCCAAAGTTAGTATTTCAACTTTTATTCAAATGGTTATACTGCCAAATGATTTTCGTAACCATATATTACATAGAAGGTTACTCGGAACATATATACCTATGCAATTACGTATGGTATTATCATAAATGAATAATACCCCTAGTAAAATCGACAGAAGTCACAGAAGCAGATGCAGATATTCCGATTCGGTGATTTTTATGGAGTGATCTCGATTACATTTCTGGTACATTCACACGACCCTCGAACAAAGATACGAACGATGCTTTCTCGTTATGACGAATATAATAATAAAATGGCCGATTTACATCGAATTCTAATGGTTGCGTAATTGCTATGCTGGTGAGTCGAAGTACCGCAACTGTGAACAGAAGATAAAAAAAAATTCTTATAAATTCTCTTGATTCAAAACTTCTCACGCACGCCACGAACGTATGCTCTGCCAAAG